GTCAATGGCACCGCAGCCACGTCCTCGCCGGCAGTGCGATCGCCTGCACCTGAATGCGTAGCACATTAGTGCCTGTGCTCCGGTCCAGGGTGATCTGCAAAAATGCTGCGAGCACTATTTTTGCAGATTGCACTGGACCGGAACGCAGGTACTGATGTACCATAGGTTCGGGTGCAGGTGCTCGCGCTGCTGGCGTGGGTGTAGCCACGGTGTCATTGACTTCAATGCACCGCCAAGCCCCCTCCCTGCCCTGAATGCAGGGAGCCGTCCAGGTTGAGATACAGTGCATTCCAGAGGCTGACCTCTCTGGAACTGGAACTGTGTGGTGTGAACCGGCACTGAAGCTGTGGTGAAACTACAAGCCTCAGCATGCATCTGTCTCTGGGAGTCATGCCTGTTGCTGTCAGAGTTGCAATGCCTCCTAGGACTTGTAGTTCCCCAACAGCTGGAGAGCCGAAGTTTGGCTGCAGGACATAAGTCATATGACATCAATGTCTGATCGATGTGAAGGAAGGGGGTCATGCCAAATATATTCTTGTGCAATCCACTATTTCTCTCATGCTGGCGCCTGCTAATAAAATATGTTCCGTATTAAAATATGTACCACAACATAAGGTTTTCACTAAGGCAAGGTGGTCTGCATGTGTTTGAACTTCTGATGTGCCAATTAGCACTTTCTATATACTGAGGGCCTACTAGCACCGCATTAAAAACAAACCTTTGAACTAACGTACCTCCCAGTCACACATCCATTAGCAAATAACCCTTTCTTTTCCTTAATAATGCAAGTGTGGCTGACGTGTGTACGCATTTAAAAGGGTTCCTTTATCTGTGATACATAACATTGTGCATATGGATGCTGTTTAAGGCCTACACAAGTAATAGGCATCTTGCTCATCTGTCCATTTTAGAGGCCTAGTGGCTGCATTGTTTCCAAGGACATTTCCTGCTATTAAATATCTGTCACTATAAATATTACCGCTATTACATATCTGTTAATGACAGGGTGACAGCACCCACATCTGTCAGCAGCAGTCTGCATGTAATCATACATAGATAGATGATTGTCACAGGACGCAGGATAGATGCCTCCAGCGACAATCATCTATACCGAACTGCATGTGATCTAAACATGTATGATTACATCTGGTCTGCTGCTGACAGATGCGGCCGCTGTGCCCATTCAAGTTAATGGCAGGCTGACAGCGGCCGCATCTGTCAGCAGCAGACCACATGTAATCATACATGTTTAGATCACATGCACTTCGGTCACATCTGAACAGGAACATCTGGGATTCCAGGCCGCAAGAATCTGTAGGTTCTTGCCACAGGAATCCCAGAACGCAGATACTAGCACCATGCGAATGCGGCCTAAAGCTTAGTGAATTGAGCCTATAATGTTAGAACAGAAGGAAGCTATGGGAAATTGTAAGACTGAGTTTTATATGAGGTAATGAAAGACGGGTTATTAAAGTGGAACTACACCTTCCTATACTTTACAACCAAGGAAGGTGGGTGCCATCTTAACCTCTATTTCAGGGGTGGGCAACTCCGGGGCTCCAGCTGTTGTAGAACTACTATTCCCATGAGGCATTGCAAGACTGACAGTTACAGGCATGACTCCCAGAAGCAAAGGCATGTTTGGATTTGTAGTTTAAGCTAGAGGGCTGAGGTGCGTTCAGTTGCTCAGCCTCTGCGAATGCTGAGTTAGCAAACCGTCGCTGAACGCTGTGCTGCAAGTCGGCGCTCAGCACTGCTAACTTAGCACTCGCAGCGGAAGTGAATGTGGCTGCAGAGCGCTGAGTGTGACGTGCATAGTAGGAGAAGTTGGGGACAGAGCACCAGCGGCCATTGTAACTGTGGGTGCACCTGGCAGCGATGGAGCAAATCACAATTTAGTGTGGATATCTACAATTTAATGTTTCGGTGCACGAATGTGAACGAAAAATAGTGTCTGAATAACGAGGCACAGTTTGTTAAAAATACTCTTTTATTGCAACAGTGGGCTGGTGACCAATTTGTTGTAACCATATAAATATACATTTCTATCTCTTCCTCAAATAATGAAACATCCATTTCATTCATAGCCACATCAAATATGCCACGGCTCTCAGTTTCCCCTGCGTGGGCTTGTTTCCACCAATGTCCCGTGCCCTGAACGCAAGGGATTGCATACATAAAGTCCCCATGTGTTCTGGGGCAAGACGGGGGCGTGGCGGTGCCATTCAAGTCAAGGCGCTGCAGACACTCCCCCCGCCCGCAGTGCGATCCGCCGAACAGGAGCGTGTGGTAATAAAATGCCCTATGTCCCAGTGCGGTGCGATCGCAAAAAATAGGGCATGCACTCTTTTTTGCGATCGCACTGGAAAGCAGGGCATTTTATTACCACGCTGTCCTGTGCGGGTGAGGGGGGGGCGTCTGCAGTGCCATTGATTTGAATGGCACTGCCACACCCCCTCTCGCCCCAGAACGCAAAGAGACTGCATGTTTGCAATCCCTTGCGTTTCGGCACGGGACATTGCAGTAGATGTGCGGGCTGGTGGAAACAAGCCCTTAAACAGTAGACATTGCACTAATGGCAGAGTTTAACACTGAATTCTACGCCATTTTGCTTAGCACTGTGCAGCCCAAGCGTTCAATGAAGCTGCTGCAGTGAACAGAAGCGCTGCAGGACAGCTACTCAGCGCTTGGCTAAGGCACTGAACGCCACTCTGGAGGTGCCCACCCCTGCTCTATTTGGATTGCAGGTGCCATGGTGCTGCACATGTGATCAGCTATGACACCAGCCATTTGAGGCTTGAAAGTTCAGTTGAGAGTTGAAGTAAGCACACTGGCAGCCTTGACAGTTGGCACCCCTTAACAGTAACTGTTTTGGAAGACGTTAAATAGGTGGTTACAGTTCCTCTTTAACCTAAAGTATATCTAAAGCCATATATTTTTTTTTTACATTTTGGTTGAACTCCTGCTATTGTTTTACTATATGATTGCCATTAGAGTTTCCTTCCCTTTCTGTCCTGTAGACACAACAGGAAGTGGAGAAAATTTCCACAAAGTGAGGGAAATCGCCTCCGACTGTTGTCATTGAAACAAGTTTCCCCTATTGAAAGATGTCCTCGCTCTTCCTGTTCTGGTGACAACTGAGAATGTTCTACCTCACAGCACTCTAGCCGCAACCTTTATATTGTAGATTTTCCTTCATTTTCCCTCCCAGTGAAAGTGACCACAGGACACATGAAGAAGGTGAATCAGCCGGTAGCCCCTCAGCACTCTACCCAAAATGTAAATGAAAAAAGTGTTGACTTTAGATCAGGGGTGGGAAAACTCCGGCCCTCCAGCTGTTGTGGAACTACAAATCCCATGCAGCATTGCAAGATTCTCACAGCCATAGGTATGACGCCCAGAGGCTGATGCATCATGGGATTTGTAGTGTCACCGTAGCTGGAGGGCCCATACACCAGTAGAATGTTGTTTTTGGAATGTTCGTTCGATTTTCTAAGAGTTCAACAACTGATTTTGACCTAGTGACAAAAAATGGAAGGGGGAGGATAGAAATATTTTTCCTCCAATGAATGAAATTGTACCAGTGAATGCGGTTTTCCTTTGGGGAAATTCCATTAATTTACCAGAATCGAATGTTAAAATCAGGGGTTGCTAAACTCTGACCCTCCAGGTCTTGGAGGGGCTTATTATACCCTATGTGATAGCAATAAAGTTAAAGGAGAACTATGGGGTTAAGGCTTTTCCCCATAGTTCTCCTTAGGGTAACGGGAGGACACAAACTAGCGTCCTCCCGTCACCCTAAGCTCACTATAGCGCGAGCTGTAGCTTGCGGTATACTGAGACGCCACAGTATACCGCGAGCTACTGCTCGCGGTATATTGAGGCGCCGCAGCTGTCTGGAGACGCTGCAATTATGTCTGGATCCGCCCAGCTGCGTGAGTGACAGCTGGCTCTGCCTATCTAGAGGCAGAGCCAGCTGTACCTGCCCCCTCCCCTGTCTGATCCGCCAGTCAGCGATGGTGGATCGGAGCGGGGGGAATCCAGCCCCTCCCCTGTCACGGCAGAGAGCCGTGACAGGATCGAGAGATGAGCGAACGCTGGTATGTGTTCGCTCACCTCCCGATCTACTGAGCCGACCTGTGACAGTCTCATTGTCACAGGTCGGCTAGAACTATGAGGTGAGTGAAAAGCACTCACCTCATAGTTCTCCTTTAAGTGAAAAAATAAATAAAAAAGGGATAAAAGGGTAAAAAATAACAATAAAAATGAAAAAAAATGAAAACCAACCTCGCCATGTGCATGTGAATGAAAACGCCCGCTTAGGACATGCACGTGTACATAAATGACAATTGCGCCACACGTTAGGTATCGCCGCGAACGCAGGAGTGAGAGCAATAATTCTAGGGCCATTATTTACTGATCTGATACAGCGCTGACTGCTGTCTCATCCTGTCCCATGGAGTCTGTGCGGGTGCACGCTGCCAGGCTGCCTTCATTGACTTACATTGTGTCTCTTCTACTGGCCGAAGATCTCTACAGCGCATGTGCCCGCCCCATGAACCTTTGCGGCCGCCCAAGTATCTTCAGATGTTCGGACAGGAGCGTGCGGCGGAGACACAGGTAAGTTTTAACCTTTTTTGGTAACTTTTTTCTTTTTAAATATTTTTGCATATATCTACTGCAAGTGGCAAAGTATGAACACTGTATCTAAAAGAGTAAGTATAATATATGTAGCATTTATTATATATGTACTGGGTATAATGTTTGTATATGTGGTTCTTATGATCCCATTAGGTAGTCCTAGCTCTTCTCAGGGAGAGGGCTCCTTGAGTTCAGTAAGAACACCGGGTCCTTTTGTCCCGCTGTACCTTTCCCGCACACTAACTTCTCACCATCTCCCTGACATGACACGTGCTCCCCTGTCTATAGGCTTTTCATGTTCTTCCCCCCCTCAGCGTGCAGGGGGCGTGCCCCCGGTCTCAGCCACGCCCCCGAAGTCAGTTATATTCCTGCTGCTCAGCATTCTTCTTCCATAGAGAGAGTGATCTGCCGGGTGCTGCTGGTCGGAGACAGTGCGGGCTGTGTTGCTGCTGCTGGGACAGCAATGACTTTCCGACGGCTGAAGAAGCTTCATCACAAGGAGGACTATACTTCTCCGCTGGACCAGACGATCTACCGGGAAAGGGACAAGGCTGACTCTACCTACATGGCCCTGGAGTCATACAGGACGGATGACATGTACAAGGCGCTGATGGTCTCCGGCGGGACCCTTCCTAGAGCTAAGAAGGTAGAACGCTGAGCGATCAGCTTGTCATTGGTGTGCGGGAAGGGGAATGCAGCACGTGCAGGGCAGTCATGAAAGGGTTACACCAGATTGGGAAATACCCCGGAACTGAGACCCCCTACCGGGCTTCATTGATGGCAGGAACGTGTCCACACCGCCTCTTGTGTTGGCCCTGGAGGGGGTGACCAGTACACAGGGACTGTTAGGGTGGGGGGGATGTGATCCCATTGTTGTGTAAGCTGTATTGTCAGGCTGCCTGTGTCTTGTCATGTACCTGCCGGGTGTGTGAGTGCTCAGTGGGGAGGGCTGATCAGTGCCCTTTACTCTCCGCTCATTACCTGTGCTCAGCCTGACCCCATCTAATGTGACCTGTAGATGGTACAATATATATTCTTATAATATCCTCACAATACTACTAGTGCTAAACACATGAATGGTTGGGATGTTTTCACTCTGCCATGTACAAAGCTACACAACCTTGTTTATAAATAATTGTCCAGTTTACAAATAACTGTCTATGTCTGCAACTAACTCTAACAAAAAAAATCTCGGGTATATTGATATACTCCATGCAGTTACTTGCTGATGTGCAGCCCTTTAGTTTATTTATTACAGGTATAGTGCTGACAGTTTACACAGCACTTTACATACTGCACATTCACATCGGTCCCTGGGGTCAAGGAGCTCACAATCTAATGCCTTATACCTTGCACATGTATACTAAGTCCACTTTATACAGGAACCAGTTAACCTGGCAGCATAGCTTTGGTCAGTTGGAGGAAGCCCACACAAGCACAGGGATTACATGCAAATAGTGTCCTGGCTAGGATTTGTCTCCAGGACCCCAGTGCTGCAAGGCAGGTGTGCTAACCACTGATGCCTGTACATTGCGTGTCGCTCATTGACAGCCTGCGGCTTCAGTAATAAGGTCATGTCGGAGCATGTGTATATAAGATAAAAATAAAACGGTGTGTGAGCACTAGCGGCACCGCTCACACGGACTGAAAACGTTTCTGCGTTCTGTAATAGACCTGTGAGTGAGAAGTCGGTGGTTGGGTTCCTGTAACAAGGTGCAGCTGACCACATGTAGTTTTGCTCTTAGTATACGGTTGCTATATTGGTGTGTACATGTGTTACTTCCAGGTGGTTACCCTGAACACGGAGTCACTTTGGGTCATGTATTGAGTATAGGGCTGTACTGATCACACCTTCCTTCCTGCTGTTATGGTGATCCATGCTGAAACAAATGTGGAACTGCTTTTTTTGGGTCATTCACCTTCCTTTTTTCACCCATCCCAAATATCAGTGCTTTGTGACATGTCTGAAACGCATGCTTATATTTCTCTGTAATGGTATCTGAGGATCCGTGTATCTGCATTAGTGGGACACCAGAGATCGTAGAAGTCAGTTCAGTGTGGTTAAAACAACTATAGCTACATTAGAATAAACAAAACTATAATGATGTACTTGTCATGTTGCAGATCTCAGTTCTCTTGTTGAGTTTAGCCAAACTTCCAAATCCCATCATGCCTGTGGGAGTCATGCATGTGGCTCAAGTCTTGCCTTATGGGATTTGTAGTTTCTCCGCAGCTGGAGTTTTGCTACCCCTGATCTATATAGCGTTGGACATGTCCAGATGTTCAGATACCTGGTCCTCCTCAGATTGCGGTGCTTCCACCTGCCAGTTCCTATGTCACTACCGTAAACTGAAGTGTGTCACATGCTGGAGATTTTTCCACAAGCATCCACGGGTGTACATTTACGTGCATGCGCACTGGGGTACACTCTCCTATGGGTGGCATTACGCAGCACCTGTGACTCATGGCAGGTCATTGCGCAACAGCCAGCTGGTGAGGGACCAATCACACGGATGGAAGGAGCCTCCTGGAGTGTGGAAATGGCAATGTATTGCAACTTATCCCTCTACCCCTGGAGTTAACAAGCAATTACACTTTGCAGTGGCCCCCCCACACACGCGTCAACGGGCAATTGTTCGTGGTATGCGTTAACTTTTTTTAAATTTTATTTCCCAGAGTTTTTCTTTTAATGTTTTTATTTAGCAACAGATCCTTTAGCACAAAACCTCAAATGAGAAGTTGCCTATTGCTGCACTTCTGCTGCTTCTTTGATTCCCAGTTTGGATTAGTGTATCCACTGTAATGTTTTCTGGCGGGCCCTATGAAAAATCTCCGATATGTTGCATCTCTGCATTGTCTCATAGGTACTATATGGCTTATAAGTTGTTAAAATCTGCTAATAGGATGCTAAACACTTCTGAGTTTTAGGTCTGGAAACTTTGGAAAGTATGTTACTGGTGGTGTTTAAAATGCGCGTATTGTCTCTAAATTGGTAAGTGTAGCTTCATGTATTAGAAAGTTAGAAATGATGGTGCTAATTATTTTTATTCTACTGTTGAATACAGACCCCTCTTTGTTTATGTTGAGACCTTTTTTTTTTTGGAATTGCATTCTACTGTACTACATTGGGGACCACTGAAATGTTGTATAATTACAATCCAGTGTAAGTGGTACAGTTGGGCAACCTTGACACTCCATCTGTGGTGAAACTGCTAATCACGTCATGCTTGTGGCTGTCAGTGTATTGCAATGCATCATGGGACTTGAAGTTACACAACAGCTGGAGCGCCAAGGTTGCCTATCCCTGTGACAGATTAGCCTATAGGGTTTGGTTATGTAATTTCCAAATTCATCTTTACAAAGAAGGTGTTGGCAAAGTAGTGTGAAACAACTTAGTCTAAGGTCAAATGGGTACTCGGTGCCCCTCTAACAAGAGACACATTCGGTAGCTGTTAACTAGTGGCACTAGTTATTTTAGGTTTTCTCTTCACTTCATTTGACAACATGGCAGAGCTCTCATCTACTTCTGTATAGCACAGTGCCAGCAAGAAACATAATGCTGCATGGCGCCAGTGTTTGCTACATGGTCCCAGTGTGTTCTTTCTTCACCTTATGTTTGTAGATCACATTGTGACAAATGGGAAGTTCTGGTAAAGTGGTAGAACTATAATACACTTAAGCCGGCCATACCCTGGTGGAAATCTAACTGGTCTTTGGCTAGCCTGTAATAATGGGAATTCATCTTTTTAAAGGGACATTGTCATATGAGATTAATGGAGGCAGGCAGTGCGTGTGTGCGGCCATCCATGATTTGACTCATTTACCTGGCTGCTATGTTGACCCACTGGCTTCAATGCTTTAAATCGCTGACCCAGATGTATTATGAAGATCCGAAACCTTGGGGGAAAGCCAGAAGTCTTTAACAAACTCCACTGTCAAGGCAGGAATACTAATCCCATGCCCTGATATACAAATGACCACTAGAGGGAGCATTCATCTGTATATGAATAGCAATAATCAAAATATGGAGTCAAAAGCAAGAAAGAAATGTACCATCCATGTCCAAATTATTTTCAGGCAAATATTGAAGTAATCTAGTTTGCGACAAATGTGCTATAGTTTCCCGTTGAGCTGTATTCATTAGCTGGCATTTCATTGTTTGCAAGATTCCTATTCAGATTAATATACTTATAAGATTATGTGACCTAAAGATACTCATAAACCTGAGATGGCAGGAAACGGTTGGATCAGGTGACAGTTACGTACCTATGGGCACCACCAAACATCCCTTGTGACTGATTTTCTAGGTGAATGAGTAGAACAGGCTGAAACTTTGACATGTATTTATTTATTTTTTCTTTCTACTGAGATGAAGCCATATCAGAAGTATCTTGCCTTTGCTGTCTGCTCCATAGGCATGTACACACATCACATAATCATGGTACATCCCGCCAAAAGATTACCTTCAGAGTGACTTGTTTGTGCCTGCATATGCTTTTAAATCTACGGTCTGACTATCCTACAGGTACACCAACATGCCCTGCTCTTTACTACTCAGTGGGACAAAGACTCTGTAGTAAAGAATAGGACATGTTTGTGCTGGGCAGCTGCTGTTAATGTAAACGCAGGGATGGTTGGTTGCTAGGACACTGGTGTATTAGCAACCAGTGACTCATCCCTGGTCCCATTCTGCTGCAGTCCTGGGAGACTCCTTGGCTGTGCAATGGTGGCTGCTGTCATTACCCAAATATGACAATGGCCAAATTTGGTCAATGGTGTCATCCAGCATCCCTGCCCCTTTATTTACGTTCAGCTGTCAGCCAGGTAATCTCCACACTCTTTATGTATTCCAGGAATAGTATGGTGCATTACAGATGAATGATAATCTTTCTTTGCATTTAATCCTTAAAGAAGTAGTCTTGGCAGGTGGAAGCTATGGTACCCTATATGTGTCCAGGGGTGTGGAATTCACTCAATGCCCGGAACATGTAGGTCCGGACGTGTCGTTTTTTTTGTTCTTTGTACAAAAGGGGAGCCGTTTTGTACAAGTGATCTCGATCAGCTGTACTGCCCTCAAGATCTCTTGTAAGCAGCCTGATTGTCACTTTCCCTCCCCTCCCTGAACGCTGCATCTCTCCCTGGCCGCCATCTCTGTCATGACCCCCGCCTGCTGTCTCCCTCCCTGCTTATGGTTTTCGGGGTTCCCTTCTCTTCTGGGGGATCCGTGGCCACGGCAAATTAGTTCAGGAGGAACACTGCACTGCCAGCCTTCCTGCGTGAAAGCAATAGTGTAAAAAAATAACATATTAAATAATAATTTAGAGAAGTAAATAAATGTTTAATAAATTAATATTTAATAAAATACAATTTTTAAAAATAAATGTAAATAAAAAAGTGATATAAGATGAATACAAATGTTAAAAGGAAAAAAAGATGATAAACTAAATTGAAAAAACTAAAATCGTTAAAACCAACCCCACTCTAACCCCCTTCTGCATGGAAATAAACACATGTGTAGGGCATTGTGTGTATGGCGAGTGCCGCCCCCATTCTACTGTGTGCCATATTGTGATAGCCAGACAGCAGCGCTCTCCAACACACATAATGTGCAATAAAGGGTAAGTTCACTTCACCACGTAATTTGGG